ATATATATATATATATATATATATATATATATATATATATATATATATATATATTCGACCAATCACATTACGAATAAATTAGCTTCACATACATTTCATCTCAATTTTATGTTGGGATTTGCGGCAATAAGACCAAAAAAACTTGAATAATTCAATTTTCCATTTTTTGCTGCCAAAAATTTCACTTACTCCCACTAGAGAAGATTTTTTACAGCAACCACAAAGCTAGAGTATTTAATTATTATCCGATAAACCAAAAGTAACCCCTTGCAAGCTTTTCGCAGTGTTGGTGTGTGCTTGCCTTGACGAACCAAATAAAATAACATTCCATAGCTTATGGGGTCTGTGTCCGAACACAAAAGTACTAAGTACAATATAAATCACACCTTTTTCACAAACTGAAACTAAAATATGATCTAGGTTGGTAACTAACTACTTAACAAAATGCCCGAGGTTTTATCATGCTCACAATGTTTTAAGCAAACACGTGTGTGCTTTGTCTATAAATTACAAAACGCAGTGCCAAGATTACAATTATTATTATTACCATTATTATTAATCCACGTGAAACATATAGCAGCTTTGGCAACGTGTGTTTCTGTCGCCCCTTTTTATTTATTATTTATTTTTTGGTGTTAAATATTTAACTGCTCCTAATAAATTTAATTTAAGAAATTAAAAGGCAATAATTTGGATTTTATTTACTTAAATTAAACTTTATTTAAATGTGTTTTGTTTTTGTTTATGTTGGGGTCGGTGTTGGTGTATTGGCGGTTTTAAGTTTCGCTAGGAATAGGTATAGGGTGGTAATTTATTTTTTTTAGGGGAGGAAGACGTGCGGGTGCTGACGTTGGCCGAACAAATAATAGCCGCACTTCCAGAGAGAATAAAGAGAGAGGGTGATCCTTCGTCGCCCTCCCTTCCACCCTCGCCGCCATCCTCATTGACCCCGCTCGAGGATGCTTTTATGGAGCAAATGGTAAGTACACTAATTTTAAATGGGATTTTCTATCTACACAACCGGATTTACTTTTTCTTAAATTACCCTCCCCCACTTCTAGTACTCAATCTTCAGTTAATTAGTTTTATGATTAAATAACTAGTCACTTTATATTTACTCTGTCCTATAATTTATCTTCGGACAGTTTTATTTTTAATTAGTTTTTTTTTTTAGATATATAATTCATTAAAAAAATTGAAAAAATTTTTTTTATATTCGTACTACCTTAAAGTATAATTTTATTTAATTTGAGTTTTTAAATCCTTGTAGTTTTTTTTTTAATTCGCAAATTAAAGTTCGAACTGAGTTAGAACGATCAGCTGTTAATCTTCAGCCATTTTCATTTCGTCTTATAAATTATAGTGGCGCCATTTAAAATTTAAATTTGAAAATTTGCGCGGTAAATTTGGCGCTTTTTTTTTAATTTAAATATTCATTTTTATGGAAGAAATTTTTATCATATTTGAATATTGAGTTTTTAAATATATTAAATTATTTTTGAATAATAATTAATTACTAATTTGGCATGAAATATAATCCTGATTATTAATTACCAATTCAATCCATTAATTAGAATAAATTTAACAAAATGAAAAAATAATAATTAAATATCAAGTCGAGTTAAATTAATGAGTGTCCTTAATTAATATTAATAGAGGGAAAAAAATGACGTTATTGAATTAATTTGTTTCAATTTAAATTTTTATAATACTAATAATAATTTTTGATTGTTATCATTATAATTTAAAAAATTTTTGATAATAAACTAAAAACTTCTTATCAAAGTTTTGAATTTTTAAGTTTCAATTCAAAATTGTGGTTCAAATAGGGTAAATGCACCAATTATTGACCGATTAAGGTTTTCTTTTTCTGTACTAAGCTATAAAAAATCTATTAACCTACTAAAAACAATTTGTAATGGATTTTATTAAATTTAAATACTTAATTAATAATAATTAATAACTATTTATAATAAAAATTAACAAAATTATATTAATTTTGTTATTTGAATGTTGAAATACTAAAATCACCAATTACTGACCGAAGAAACCCAATAAATGACCGACCGTTCTCCAATTAATTGACCGCTGAAATGATTATAAGTAATTTTGTAAACTACATGTATGTAATTAAATTTATGCAGTACTTTTGAAGTAATAACGACATCTTTAACAAAACTAAACACACAATATAATTTTAAATCGTACTTTTTCATAAAATAATATAAATAATAGCAATAATTAACAAAAAGTCACATTTCTTTAGGTCACAAATAATCAAAAATTCATTTTGATGACGATAATTCGTCTGATTCACTTGAAATTTTTTTATCCTTCTCCTTGTTTTTTTCAATTAAAGCTTTTTTACTAGCTTATATTTGATATTGTGCCGATAAATATCACTAAATTAATTATGAAATGCACTCACTCTCCAATTGTACGGTAGTTATTTTTGACCGCTTTATGGCTGGAGTTGCGTTGTGAACAAACAGAATATTTTTTTAAAGCTATAATCACTGCGCAATTAATTGCGTAATTTTTTATTATGATTAAATGCCATATTTTTTTATTTTAATACTTTAAGAAAAAAAAAAACCCTTGTAAAATATTAATTAATTAACTTTTTTATACATCGGTCAACTAATTGGTGACCGGTCAACAACTGGTGCATTTACCCTATTAAAAATACAAAAAAATTCATAAAAAACCTTTTATGTAGAAAATTAAATTTTCTACAAAAAAAGTATTATTAATTTTACTGTATCTCTTACCCTTGAGCAAAAAATTTGATAATAAAGTCTAAAATCTTCACCATCTCGTACAACTATTAACTTCTGAATTAATTAATTATTATTATTATTTAATGAAAAATTAATAATGTTCAGCCGCTCGACTCCGGGGAGTTATTCGATTCATATCGTGAGTGTGGAGGTGCAGCGTCTGTGTCCGACGTCGACGCGGAAGCAAGTCCGTCCAGTCCGTCAAGCAGCTGTTTGACACCCGACTCACCCTCACCGCCGCCTACCACTGCCGACTTCTGCGAGTTTCTCCAGCTGCAGCTCCAATTAGACGGCGGAAACCCCCACCATCATCACCGTCATCACCACCAGAGCCATAATCATCAGCAAAATCACCAGCAGCACTCTTCCAACGAGTACGACGACTACATGAACGGTAACCTTACCGAGAGGAGCAGCGAGGGCGAAGCCGACCTCAGCCGCCTTACCCTCTCGGACCGTGAGCAGCGCGAACTCTATCACGCTGCCCGGATGATTCAGAAGGCTTATCGCAATTACAAGGGCCGCCAGCGGCAAGAGGAAGCCGAGAGACACGCTGCTGTCCTTATTCAGCAGTACTACCGCCGACATAAACAGTACGCTTATTACAGGTATACTTTATAGTTTTAAGCTTAATCATTCGGGAGTTTACTCGGCGACACTCGGTAAAGTTCACACTTTTACTCTCATTTTTATTAATATTTATTAGTCCTAGTAGATTTTTTTTACTTGCAAGATTCAAAAAGCCCGCGTTTTTCCCGCTAAGAAAATTCGAGTCTAGGAATTGTGTCGGCCATTTTAAAAAATTTTCGTAAGCGGCCATCTTGTCGGCAAACGGGTAGCAAAACTAATAATTGATCTAATTTCAATAATAAGATTATTAATTGAAAAAAAAATTACATAAGTTGATGAAGAGAATTGTTAAGACTTAATTAATAGAATAATAGAAAATTTTTTAATTCATATTGTAATGTAAGTTTTTTATAAACTAGAATTTAATTTTCGCGCGCAAGCGCGCGCGTCATATTTATTGTCATGATATATTTATGTGTCGTTTATGTATAGTATATTCACTTTCAACCTATCAGAATGAGAATATTTATTTTCGACCAATCACGTTACGAATAGTTTGATGCCACATACATTTCATCTCTATTTTATTATGGGATTTTTATTATTATTCATAGAAATTTCTTATGAAGTTTAAACTCAGTAAATTTATAAAGGGACATTTTTTTTTTTCAAAGTAGAAAATAAGTTTATTAAGAATTTAAAAAGCCCGCGCTTTTATTGTCAGCCATTTTACAACCTAGTAGACGGCCATTTTGTCGGAGATTGAGCGAAAAACGAATTTTTGATTTATTTGTTACAATAAATTAGTTTATTTAAAAAAAATTCAAGATATTAGTTTAAAATTAGTTTATTTTTTTGAGCTTTGAATAAAAAATTTTTAATATTTACTCAAATATTAGAAAAATTGTAGTCATACTTCAAAAAGTCTTTATGATGAAAAATTTCAAGCTAATAAATTTTTTATTCAAAATTTTACTAGTTTCAAAACTTTAAAAAGGATTAAAAAAAATTTTTTAAATCCCGCGCTTTTATGATCGGCCATTTTATAACCACGTTTTAATTTTTATAACCACAATTTAAAAAAATTAGTCCAATTGGAAAGAAAAATTAATATTACTTTAAAATCTGAGTTTTTCATAAATTAATAAAAATTTTAGTGCTAAAATTTTTTTAATATAAATTAAGAATTAAAAATTTTTTAAATTCAACTTAATAATTTTATAAATTTTTATTTTTTATTAAACATTCTAACAATTTAAAAATTCTAAACAAGATGATAAAAAAATTGAAAAAGCCCGCGCTTTAATAGTAAGCCATTTTATAACCAAATCGAGGCCATTTTGTCAGAAATTGTGTGAATAACTAATTATTTGTTATATAATCTTTAAAATCGTTAATATTCATTTAATTATTTAGAAAAATTAGTCAAATCAAAAAAATTTTTAACATTGCTTCAAAATCTGAGTTTTTTAAAAATTAGAGATCTAAAATTTTTTTAATATCAATTAAAAAAATTCAACTTAGTAATTTTACAAATGTTCAATTTTTTAATTAAAATTCTAAAAATTTCAAAACTCTTAACAAGATGATAAAAAAATTGAAAAAGCCCGCGCTTTAATAGTAAGCCATTTTAAAACTAAAGAAGCGGCCATTTTGTCAGAAATTTTGTGAAAAACTAGTTATTAAATGTATTACGTTAAAAATCGTCAATATTTATATAACAATTTAGAAAAATTAGTCAAATTGACAAAAAAATTAATATTACTTTAAAATCTGAGTTTCACATAAATTAACAAAAAATTTAGTAGTAAAATTTTTTTAATATCAATTAAAAAAATTCAACTTAGTAATTTTATAAATGTTTAATTTTTTAATTAAAATTCTAAAAATTTCAAAACTCTAAGCAAGATGATAAAAAAATTGAAGAAGCCCGCGCTTTCATAATTGGCCATTTTATAACCACGTAGGCGACCATTTTGTCAGAAATTGTGTGAAAAACTAATTATTAATTATAAAACCTTAAAAATCTGAGTTTTTTTTAAATTAGACTTCTAAAAATTTTTCAATATCTTTCAAAAATTAACAATTAAAAAAATTCAACTTAGTATTTTTATAAATGTTAATTTTTTATTAAAAATTCTAACAATTTCAAAGCTCTAAACAATTGAAGAAGTCCGCGCTTTAGCGTAGTCATCCATTTCCCAGCGAATTACTCGGCATTTTACGGGAATTTTTCCAACTCAGCAACCAGTAAAGCAAACGTTAATCCAAAAGATAATTAAACAAGGTAATTAACAGTAACCGAAAATAAATCACCAGGTAATTAAAACAAGAAGTACCTTAGTTTCATTATTCCGTGCGATTGCGCTCATGTCGCGGTATTAATCCTCATAATCCTGGGGATCTGTTGATAAATTCGCGATCCAAATATTAAATTAGCCTCATTGCGTCCTCATAAATCACAATGAACAATCCGAAGGGTGACGGATAGCCTAACAAGCGACAAAGAAGCCAAAGAGTAGAACATAAACAAAAACAAACAGAGCCTTATGGAGACTCGGAGCTCATGAGAAACAATTCTTCTTACCTGGCGAAGAGACGAGTCGGAACTTTTAATTGGGATCGTAAATAATTCGGAAACTTTGAGTGAACTTTATCCAGCGCGGGCCTCTCGAATACCAAATTAACCCGGCATTAAATTAATACGAGTTGGGTCTAAGCCTGTGGCCGCGGATCCTGCATAATGTAACTGTGTCTCTAGAGTGTGTCTAACTGAGATAAGACAAAGACCGAGGCGGTTCTTGCTCTTGCTCTTACTCTGTATTACTCGAACAGAAGGTGGTATTCTTATCTATGCAACTCCTGATCCAACTATCTGCTATCTGTTATTATTATATTCGCTTTCTCTAGTCTAGTCTAGTCTGGCTGGTCGAACGAAGATGGTTAGACTAATACTCTTTACTAATTGCAGACAAGCCACCAAAGCTGCCCTGGTGATTCAAAGCAACTATCGCAACTACCGTGCTCGTCCTGGATCCACTGGCACAAGACAGCAATCTGTTCATCAGCAAGCTGCTCATCAGGCTGCTAGGAAAATTCAACAGTTTATGCGACAATCTAAAATCAAGTAGGTTTTTTTTATTGGTAATTTAAAATTAATGTTATTGCTAACAATTACTAACAATTGGGTTGTTTTAATTTAACACAGTCTGTCGTGTGATGATTCACGACCGGTAAGATTATTCTTGAATTATTATACTTTGATCTTCGTCAAGTCAATTGATTATTTATTCATCGATATTTTTAGATTTAAATGTGATAATTTAGTTATTTATTTATAAAGTCGGAGGTGTTCTGCATTTGTGTGTCAGAACACACTCTCTGCTCGTTGCGCTAACCTCTACATTACCAAAAACCCCTTTTTTATTTGCACAATATACGTGATATGTCGGTATGTTAGGTTGTAAATAACATTTCTATTAGATTTATAAAAAAATTTATTGACTTTATTTCATTGGTTTGTAGGATAAATTACATTTAACCATAAAATGTTGATAGATGGTGCCTTATGTAACTTTCTAACAAATTTAAATGTATTTTTGATTTTTCCGACGGAAAAATAATAATCCGAACAAAAACAGTTTCACTGTAAAAAATCGCGCCAAGTCCACGTTCATAAGACTTCGAAAAAAAATAATCGTTTTTTACAAAAAAATATTAAATCAAAAAAACTCTACCAGTACTGTTTATAACTTTATTAAAAATATGAAAAAAAGTTAAGGTAAGAGCCCCCATTATTGACACTATAAGAAGGACGGCGAACATTTGAATTTTTTAACCGTATTCAAATTAATCTGACTAATTTTTTTTTGTATTAGACACTTTTTTTGATTCATCAACTTGTGTATTTTAATTTTTATACTTAAATAGTCGTTAATTAAATGACAAATATATTAATTTGAAATCACCAACTCAAGTGTAGGTATTATTGACAGGGTGAAATGGTATCGGAGCCAACTATTGACACCCATAGACCCTATTATTGACAGGTGTCAACCCTATTATTCAGGTTTAATTGAAATTTAAACTTCGAATATAATTTATTATTTACTAGTAAACAACAATATTTTGCTCAGACAATTCTTTTTTTTTAACGTACTTAGCGTGCGTCATTGAGTACCCCAAATTTTTAGAACTTAAGACATTAACTTTTTCTATATGTTTGTGCACATGAAATTAAATATCGCTCACGAAAAAATTTGGGGTACTCAATGACGTACGCTAAGTACGTTAAAAAAGATTTTCATTAAGTTTTAAACTTGCTACTAACTTTTTTTTATATTTTTAATAAAGTTATAAACAGTACTCGGAGTTTTTTTGATTTCATATTTTTTTGTAAAAAACGATTATTTTTTTTCAAAGTCTTATGAACGTGGACTTGGCGCGGTTTTTTTTACAGTGAAACTGTTTTTGTTCGGATTTCACATCTTTTTGTAAAGTGCCAATGTTATTCAAATGAGTCTTATGAATGTGGACACATCCTTAAATTATTCTTATAAATATATTTTTTATGAAATATAATAATTTTAATATTAAAAATAGTATAGAAAAATCTGGCCCTTAATGACCGAAACAGATAATCCCATAGTTACGTCTGGCATTTTAAAACTTGGCGCCAAAAGTTTACTTATCCAGTTACTACAGTGTATGTAAAATTTCTCGCGTCGCACTCTAGTGTGTAGAAATAGAAACTCTTAAAACTCAATTTTAGACTGGAGTTTCCGGTCTACCTATGAAATTACTGCACATATTAACTATTGCTATAGTTTGTGCTGCTTAAATTTATTAATTAAAAATAGAATTCATTAAAAAGTATGTAAAAAGTAAATGATTAACAGTTTATTAAGGTGTATCTATTATTAAAAAACATAACTTTTAATGTAATTATTATAATAAATATATAAAATTTTCTAACCCTAAAATCAGGCTATGCTTACAGTGATAGTACTCGGTAGGCTGGCGTTTGAACGGTACTTGGCGCCAGACTTCTACCGAGTCTGTAGATTTTTTATCACGTTATAGCTCAAAAAAATAATAAAAATACGTGAAAAGTAATTCCGGTATTAATTACGTATTTTGATGCGAGCTATCCGAATTATTCATTAATTTTGCATTTAAATAATTAAATTGTTAATAATAAAAAATAAGACTAAAGAACTAGTGAACAATATTATTACAGCCACGTTAAAAATAAACAACGTTCTTCCAACAATCATTTTATTTTATAAAGTGATAAATTTATTGAATTTTTGAAGAATAATAATGGTTGATTGCTGAAAATACATTAACTAATAAACAATCAAATGCTCATTCACATCTAAAATTAGTTTTTTTTATCTATGCTTTTAAACTAACATAACGAGGCCCCGATGATTTTTAATGGTTATAATAAAAAATACTTTTCTAAAAAAACTTTTAATTTCTTTATTTTTTAACATCCGATAACTTAGATACAAATCTAAAGAAAAAACAAAATAATTAATGATCACTTGATCACTCCATTATCAGAAATAGATAATAACTATGCGCAGCATTAATCGATTTAAACTTAATAAGTTTAATCTAAAAAAAATAAAAATTTTATTAACACTTGGACCAAAAACAACGAAATGATAATTTACTGAGCAGGTATGCAAAGATTAGTAGCTACGGCTTTAAAACCCGACTGACATTTACAACGATAATCAATGCAAACAGAATTTGGAAGCGAGCATTGGTCATCTTTCCAACAAGGTCCGCCCAAAAGTGGATAACATGTCGCTTTATTAATCAATCTATTGTTTGATTTGCACACACAATAATTATTTATTGAGCATTCTGCATGCCACGGATCTCCGCAGTCAATATTATCACTACAATGAACTACGGATTGTTCTTGAAAACAAAAATTATAAAAATTGATTAGTCATCAACATTAACTTGTTGATCTGATAAATTTTATTACTTACCGATTTCACATTGAGTGTCTGAAACGGCAAAATAATTAGGCTTGCACTGGCATGTAAAATTGAAACAATGAAAATTATCAAATCTGCAGTCTTTGTCAGTCGAACACTCTTCATTAATAATGGGTGTGCAAAAAGTTTTATTGTTAAACTCATGATGATTTTTCCGACAAGCACAGACTTTATCATCTGAACATAGAAAGTTCTGTGTCAATGCACAATCTATGTGATTACTACAGGGAAGTCCTAAAATAAAAGCTTGAAAAACAAAAGTAATAACTTAAAATTGCGGAATGTAAATGGTGAATTAACAATCTATACCAAAAGTTTCTTACTTCGTTCGCATTCGTTTTTTCCATCAATAACATTGGGAACGAAATATTTTTTGCATTGACATTTCCTAGAATAACAGTTAGAGTTTTCCGTCACACAATCTTCATCTAATTCACATTCTCCACCTATAAGTGGCAAACATGATGTCTTATCCGTTGAAGCAAGATAGTTTGGTTCACAAATACATTCATTATTTGATGAACACTTTGAAAATTTTATGTTAACGCAATCTTCATCCAAATGACAGGATTTATAAAGAACTGAAATAACAAAACTGTTAACAGACATTGACAGATTAAGGAGGTATTACCCTAAAAGAGTTTTCAACTTTCAGAAAAATTTCCCCCCATATGCTCCAATGTAAAGCATTATAACTACAATATGAAGTAGTTGAGATGCAGTGCACTTTTGCGCCTCCTCTCATATGCGCAGAAGTAGAAAAATAATCCCACTGCGTCTTTTTTTTGACTTGGCTACGTTGCATTCTCGCTCAGAATTGTTTGCCCCTTGAGACATGTGTTGTAGAAAAATTTAATGTTTTGAAATAATTTTGAGGTTACGTATAGTTGAAGACTGCAAATAATAAATAATGACTTCGCGGCTAAAGAATGGCAGATTTTAATTTAGCAACATTTCGATCAGTCTTGAGTGATAGAAAAGGTCCTGGTAAATTTAAATTAGAGTCAAGATTTTTTAAATAATTCAGATGATGAACAACAATCATTCCATGATGCAGCTTATGACGTTTTAACTTTACAGAATTTAGTGGAAATATTAAATTTAAGAAATTTAAGAAACCAAAAAAAAATAATTTTAGGAAAGAAAAAGTTTCTAAAAAAGAATAAAATAATTAGTAGTATTAATATTCGTCTAAAGTTAAAAATAACTTGTTTTAAATGAGTGCCTTTATAAAATATTTATTGAAAAATGTACTTTTAAATAAATGACTATTTATTATATTAATATTGTAGCTATATTCTTGATTTATACTATTTATTATTTTACATATTTATTTTTCCTATACAGTAAATTTGTTTAACCTATATCCATTAAATTTTTATAGTTATTTGAATCTGTTGGGTTTCTACTGTATTTTGGATTTCCCGCGCAGTGCAACGTTGCCAAGTCACTATCTCTAACTTATTAGGTTATAAGAGAACGCTTCAAAATCATTAAAAGTAACAAACTTTGAACATTGTTTATAAAAAAAATTAATACCGCTCGTTTATGTTTTTTTTTTTTCAAAAAAAAAATACTTTGTTATAACTTCAATTAAATATTCTCAGTTTTTAAAAAAAATCCTAAGAAAAGTATGGTTGTTATTCAATAAAATGTTCGCTCTAACTACGGTCAGGATAGGGAATACATGTTAAATGTACGATTTTTAATTGCTAATATTTCGAAAATTAACCCCGCAAGGACTATTAAAAAAAATTTATTCGTATAGAGGACACTTAGAAGTACGCGTATTCAAAAATTGAGGAATATTGTAAGAAAAGTGATTTTTCACCATACCTTCTTAATTCAATCTTACACTCATCGCAGTGATACTTACCAGGTAGACACTTGTTGAAAATAAATGTAAAATTAAACATACATTTACAAGAATTTTTAATACAGAAAGAATTTTCAACAGTACAATCCATGTTTGAAGCACATGGCCCGCCGATACTCGGAGAGCAAATTGTTTCCGTCAGTTGATAATAATTTTTTCTACAAATACAGCCCTTAAACTCAGAACATTTAGAGTTATGTATTTTACTGCAGTCTTCATCGAATTTACACTTATAATTCAGACGCGCTAATCAAAGAATATTAAATATCAATTTTGAATTTATATAAATCTGAAAATAAAGGTCATACTTGGTAAGCATAGATTGTTGTCTTGCGCGGCATATTCAGGTCTGCATTGACACTGATTGTTCACACAGGACGAGAAATCAATTAAACACTCTTCATTCTCAACACAATGCTCGTTTAATAATGGGAGGCACTTATCATTCGATACAATATGATTTGGTGGACAAAAGCATTTACCATCATTTGTGCAGGAAAAAAATTGAGCTTCTTGGCACAATTCGTCTCTCGAATTACATTTCGAGTGAAAATAAGCTACAACAAAGTGTCAATAACAACTTACACAATTTGTACTCGTTTTTAAACGATATAAACATTGATAGATTAATTCCTTACTTGGTTCACAGCGTTCATAAGATTTTGGAACAAAATATTCTTTACATTTGCATTTGTGATCAACACAAACAGAATTTTCAGGAAAACAGTCTTCATTTTTCTTACAAAACGATCCTATTAATGGCCGACACGAAAGGCCAATTTTAATGTAATTTTTTTTGCACACACATTCGTTGTCTTCAGAACATATTATGTGATTTTGGGATTTGCAATCGCTATCGAACATGCAAAAGTTTCCTGCAACTTTTTTTAAACTATACTTACAAAAGAATGATGCGTTATTTATCTTATAATCAATTATACTCACCTTGCTCACATTTATTATTGATCCTTTCAAACCTATCATAGCATAGACACATTTGCTGTTCTATCGAAGAATTTCTGAGCTTTCCTTGTTTGCAAAAAAGATTTTCGTCACAGCACGGTTGTGAATTGTATAAGTTACACTAAAAAATAATCACATAAATCAAATCAAAATAAGTAAAACTTTTTTTGTATTACCAACCGTGAAACTTGGATTTTCGAGTTATAGTTAAGGTAGTTGGATCATGCGAGCAATATTTCAAGAAACCTTCCAAATTTATAATATAAGTAATTAAATGCATAATGCATATGCTGTTAAAATTTGGAGACGATTTACCACGTCTAACCGAAGATAATGACATTTACAATTGAAAATGACATTTTTACACAGGCGGTGTGGGAAAAGAGAGAGAAAACCGCGAAGTTTTATTATTTTTCTATTGAAGAAATTTTAAACTTTAGTAACTGTACTAAGGTAAAAGCCCCTATTATTGACAGGGCCCCTATTATTGACATGTTGTTTTATTTTATTGATTAAATCACAATAAACATTGCTTTTTATCAATTTTTACAAATTTTTTAGTAAGAAAAAAGTAAAATTTTATGCCTGGGTATTAATTATAAACTGCAAAAAAATTTTATTTTTCCGAGTAGACCACTACGGCTAGTTTATTTAAAATTTCTCAACAATTTCGCTAAGAGAGAGCGTATTTTAAATAGCGAAATTTTCTATATAATTCTGATAAAAGCCTATCATCCAAAATTATTTGAGGTTATTTAAACTCTAAACAATCTTAGATTTATTGTTTTAAGCTGATAAATTTTAATTATGATTTAAAAATAGCGGGTGTCAATAGTAGGTACATAAAAATTAACATGTGTTTAACTAGCGACAGCCTACAATTTTAAGAAATTTAATCTCTTTAACATACATAGCGGATTTGTTTACATGTTGTCTCGCGTAATTTTATAATAAAAAAAGAATTGTCTGAGCAAAATATTGTTGTTTACTAGTAAATAATAAATTATATTCGAAGTTTAAATTTCAATTAAACCTGAATAATAGGGTTGACGACTGTCAATAATAGGGTCTATGGGTGTCAATAGTTGGCTCCGATACCATTTCACCCTGTCAATAATACCTACACTTAAGTTGCTGCCCAGATAGCAATATGACGTCTTTTACAGTTCTCAAAGAACTCTTATTTAAGATTTAGACGTCAGAATTTTGATCAAAATGAGGTCTCCAAGACGTTTTGAGGACGTCCAATGCGCCACCTAAAGAGTGAATCAGGACTTCATAGAGAGAGTTCTTAAAGAGCTCTTTTTTCTGACTTCAAAAAAAGAGTTCTTCAAAAAGTCAGAATTAAGAGCCCTTTCTGACTCCAGAAAAAAATAGTTTATAGAGGAGACATTTTCAGTTTTAATTGTATTGTAATTAATATTAAAAAAGAGCTTAAATTGAAGACAATCAAGTACATTAAAATATATTTTCTTCGAAATAAAAAAAAAAAAAAAATGGTGTCGCTTGCAGCTTAGAATACGAATTTACTAGCGGTCACCTATCCAAGTATTTATCATGACTAATGCGTCTTAACTTCAGTGATGTGGTGTCCTCTGGTCTGCCTTGGCTAGCTGCTCCTAATGAGATAGTAAATTTTTTTTCTTTACATAAGCTCTTATGTTCACATAAGATTATAAACGACTTATAGCAACGATAAAAAACTTGATATCAACTTTTCTACCCAAAAATAAAAAAAAAAATACTTTTCGATTTAATTATCGATTTAATTTTTAATAAGTAGAATCACTGAACGTTTTGCTATTTACGATAATATTTTTATAATACAAAAATAAATACACAGCGAAATGAGTTCACTCGAATGCGATTATTTTTATTTTTTTTATCATTTTAAAAATTCTTCAATAACGTGAAAAAAATTTTTTTAAGTCCCATATTTTGACGAAGTACAAAATCAGAAAAACAAAAACCTATTCAAGAACTCTTATTCTTGATGTCTTACGAAGTCAGAAAAAAAGAACTCTTAAAGAGCTCATATTTCTGATGTCTTGGAAAGTCCAAAAAAAGACCTCTTAAAAACAGCTCATTTTTTTGACCTCTTACGAAGTCGGAAAAAAGACTTCTCAAAGAGCTCATATCTGTGATGTCTTATAGAACTTAAAAAAAAAACTTCTTAAAGACTTCTTAATTAAGAGTTCCGAAAAATGAGGTCTTTAAGACGTCATATTTGGAGCTCTCAAGGAAGTTTTTGAAAAGACATCTTTAAGAAATCCTTCTGACTTGGATGTTGTCTGGGATGATTTCAAATTAATATATTTGTCATTTAATTAACGACTATTTAAGTATAAAAATGAAAATACATAAGTTGATGAATCAAAAAAAGTGTCTAATACAAAAAAAAATTAGTCAGATTAATTTGAATACGGTTAAAAAATTCAAATGTTCGCCGTCACTCTTATAGTGTCAATAATGGGGGCTCTTACCTTAACATAACATTCAACTTTAATAAAAAATAATTGAATTTCAGATATTAATAAAGTTATTAAATTTGTTCATAAATAAATAAAATTATATTTACATCATCTTAAATCCGAGTTTCGGCGTTTCTATTACAAAAAATTTTGTTTGATACAAAACCGAAAAGGTTGGTCTTTTGGTAATAAACTTGAAGTGATGACGCACGTCTGAGGTTATGGATACATTCTCAACAAAACCTTGTGGGTATTATCCGGTCACTACAAGCTTACCAAAATATCAACCTTTACACATACGTATTGAAAATAACTATTATCTTACAGATTCTCCGAAGTTTGCACACTGGTTGTATTTTGTTTTGCCAAATGCTGAACCATTGAACTGAATAATAATATTCAATGCTACGTTTAGAATAAAAAATTGAACTCTTACCATCGTATTTCTTATAAACGACTGAAATAAAACAATTCGTTATTTTAAAATACACTAACCCGTTTGTTAATTAGAAATATAGTAACTGCAATCTTATCTTGGATTTTGAAACTGCTATTAAGATAAAATTTTAACGACATCTATACTAATATTACCAGTTGCGATAACCTCTTCAAAATGATTTTTAACTTCCCGCTAAGAAAAATTAAAAATTTTTTTTAATTCTGGAAGTTATTGGTTTTACCCCGCTTTGCGAAAATCAAGCTTTCATCAAATCTCGACGTTTTAAAGCCGTAGGAAGCTAACCTGACTATTCCCGCGATGGTGTCCGTGTAGCTGTATGTATGTTAGGGTGCTTTTTTTTTTTCAACTATTTTTTTTTTTCGGTCCCATCGTGAAATTTTGTTGCAAGTATAAAAAAAAAAATCTCCTGAAAGTTTGGGCCCTTAATATTAATATTAAGACCTCGACCCAGGCGTTTAAAGATTTCCCCTTAAAAAAACATAAAATCTTAAAAATCAAGATTGACTTGCGATCAAAGTGTTCAAAAAAAGAAACAAAAACCCCCGAAGCTAACAAAAGTGTCGTTAATTTCAGACTTCAGAACGCTCGGGCCGTCGCAAACGCGAGCGGGAGGCAGCCAGCGGTCATTTCACGGGCGGGTGCTGCCCCCCAAAGCTCGCACTCATCTAGCCCAGGGGCCAGCCCAGCAGCCGCGAACCAAGAGGCAACTTAGCAACAAACTCAACAACTTGTTCTGGAACAAAAGCTGGAACTCGTACAACCGACTGTCCAACAGAATTAAGCGGCAATCATTCTCCTTCCAAGCATCACAAAGCTTAAGCAATTAATTAAAATTATAATTATATTAATATTAACAATAAATTAATGAATTAACGGCTGGTTAACGAGAAGAGCGATTTTAAACTAATTAATTAAACAAATAAATAATTCCATTGGGGATTGCTTTATTTTAACCGTCCCGCGTCTCACTGAGACGGTAATTGCCGGTTCACTTACGGATAGCCTCTATATTTATTATTCCTCAAAAATACTATCCATTGTTTATTATTTATTTTGTTTATTCTAAATAACAATTGTTTCATTAATTATTTATAATTGTTGAACAATTAACGCTTGAGGTGCTTGTAAATAATTATAATTAATTCTTTCTAATTATTAAAATAGTCTTCTTGAAATTCAATATCTTCATCTGCTTTAACATACACAATAATTATATTATTATTGTTGTTATTATTAATTACCATTATTTGTTGTTTGTTATATCGCGTGACAAATGCCTAAAGAGCGTGGAAAAATTTTTTTGCTAATTATTTTAAGCTTACAACTGAAAAAAGTAAGTCAAAAAAGCGTATAGAAATCCCTCGTTTTTATTTTAGTGACATTAATATTGATATTAATGTTCATTAATTGATAATGATATAGATTAATATCATTATTATTGACTAATATTAATTCTATTGATTAATTTTGACATTTTTAATTACTATTAACGACTATTATTCAATATTAAAATCTATTAATTTTAATGTTAATATTGATTATTTTACGTTAATCTTAAAAATATTTGTTAGTAATATTAATTTAATTAGTATCAGAATTATTAATTAATATTACTACCACTAATTAATTTTTTTAAATTAGTTAATATTAATATTGTTATTGAACATCAATATTAATATTAACTAATTCATTATGATACAGGTTAATGTTGATATTATTGATTAATGTTAATTTTATTAATTAAGGTAGTTTGATCCCCGCATTTCGAAGTCAAATTAATAGATATTTTTGAAGTTATACTTCTTTAGGCGCGTTATGAAAAATTGATGAGAGTGAAATTTTACGATGCGCACGCACCGTGACACAAAATTAACAGAATGAAGTTGCCCACTAAATCGCTCATTAAGTTGAGGAAAAAATGCTACCAACAAAACAGAAATGGAATCTCTGTTAGTGGCGCATGTTGGCACGCACGCCGCCTCTGTTCACTGTGTATTTATATTTATAATATTTATTGAAGTTATACTTCTTTTGGCGCGTTATGAAAAAATGATGAAAAAATGAGGTTAAATAATAAATAATGAATTATTTTATAAGAAACATAATATATTTTAAATAAATAATTAATGATACTAAAGTTAGCCGACGTTTTTAATTTTTTTATTTTATCTTTAATAATTAAATTAGAACAAAAAAATACTTTTTAAAAATTGCACTTACAGTTCTTGAAGTTTTTTACAAGTGAAAATTTTTTTTTATTTTTTTTAATTATTTTTTCAATAAAAAAAAATTCTCAAAATTTTTATGTCAGCTAACTTAATTTTCATAATTAAAATATTTTATAATTATCGATTGTAAACTATTGATACTTTGAAGTTCCAAAATAAGTTTATTTAGAAAAATCTTTAGTAATAATGAATTAAATTCATATGATAATTAATGATTTTATGTTTATACGGTATAGCTAAATTTTTACTATAATAAAACCTATTTGATTGTTTTTAACATTTTTCTTTGATAATTTTTGAATTTTTTTTTCTTTAAAATTTTTTTTATTATATGCCAAAGAAGTATAACTTCTGACGCGTGTACATAAGTACAGACACCATTTTTTTTTCTTTTTTGCAAGAGATCACTCGAAAAATAGTATAAAATATAAAATTATTTCTAATCAGAATTTAATTGATTAAATTCAATTCATAATTATGGTCAAATAATTATAATAATATAACTATTAAAATATCAACTGACAAGTACTGGGCTGTCACAAAACAATAACAACTGTTATAGGTTATGTAAGGTCGGTACTTAAAACAGTTGCTCACGTTAATTTATTGTTTAAATTTGCAAATATCACTTCAATATATTAAATCTGCTATAATTTACGTGAACTTTTAATGTATGTTTAATAACAATTTATTTTAATGCAAAAAAAACTTTATGATTATATTTCAATTTCAAATTTGCCGCGCAGCGAGAAGTCGCCATTTTTTCCTTAATAAAAATAGGGGAATAATGTCTCCGACAAACAACAAAGATAGAAACCAATTTTTGATATTAAAAAATTAATTAAATTAAAACTATGTGGTAAATCGTTATCAAATTTTAATAGAATATGTATGAAACATTGTTCTATCTATTGGAAAGTTTTTTTTATTGGGTCAAGTTGGCCGATTTTTTATAAATCCTCCATTTCCGGAGTTATTGAACAAGGACACTCATAAGAGACCGTGTATTTTTGCAAAACTTTAATTAATTATATCTTTTAAACGGTGTGATAAAAAAATCTGATTTTTTTTCTATAGATGTATTAAATCATAACCTTTCGAATGAATATAAAAAAATATGGGGTCAAGTTGAAATCATTTAGAGCCCAAACTACCTTAATTTCGAGATTTTTAATTGGTATTAATGGATATTAATCAATATTAACATCAATTTATGTTAATATGATTAATTTACGTTAATTTTAATAATGTTTGTGGGTAATATTAGAATTAATAATTAATGTTACAACCATTAATTAATTTTTCAATATAATTCATTAATTTGATTATAATTAATTATTGTTAATATTATTGATAAATATTCAAATTTTTAATTTATATTAATTTTATTAATTAATATTAATTCAAAAATTTTATGAGCAATATTAATAAATATCAGTATTATTAATTATTGTTAATATCATCAATTAATATTACTTTCATTGGTTAATATTAACAATATTAGTCAATTTTGATATTATTAATTGATATTAATCTCATTCAATAATATTAATCATAGTTATTAATATTAATATTAAAAATATTAACCATTAATGTTACTATAATGGATTAATATTATAATTTATGAATTTCATTATGAATAATTAGTGTTAATATTATTGATGAATATTCATATTGATAATTTATATTAAAAAATATCATTGATTTTAATATTGAAGTTTTGAATAATTTTAAATTAAATAGGAAAAAAGTTTTTAAACGCTTTTTTGGCATAAAATCCTATACTTTTTAAGGATATGTCGCCCGATATTTATTAACTAATTTTTTTAAAACTGGCACTGCCTGGTTAATTTATTATATTAAAATTGTAAATAATTTAAAGTTTTTTTGGTTATGTTACAAGTGATACATATCAGTTTAGTAATTGTATCATACTTTGTTGTTGAAGTAAATAATAAAACTGTTATATTAATAATTGTCTGAGACTGAGAGTAACGAGAGGTATCCACCGGCATTAAAAAAAAAAATAAAAAAATTATATTAAAAAAACTAAATAAAAATAATATTAACTTTCGAGACTGAATTGTATTGTGAGTATTAACTCTCGGTGTATACAAAAATAATAATAATTATTTGAATAACAAACTTATTATATTATTTAATATTTAATATATTATATAAATATATATATCTTGTTAATTCGCTTGTGTACTTTGTATTGAGCAAAAGTTACTTTGTTCTGAATTAGGTTATACTATTGTTTGTTGAGATTGAGGTTATGCTTAAACAATATTCTGTTTCATTGGTAGATTTTTTTTTTGCAAGGGACTGACGTCATTTTTTTTATTATTGCAATTTATGCAGGGTTGTTAATTATTGTTATTAACTAATTAATTTATTATAATTAATCAAAACAATGTATGTGAATTATTAATTTTTTTGGTTATGTTAAATAAGTTTATTAAATTTCAATGTAAAATATTAATTGATTGATATTAATTATATAGATTAATATGAATATTAATTAATAATATTAATATTATTAGTTAATCCTCATATTATGAATAACTATGGATGTTAGTCAATATTAATTCATATGTTTAACCGCAAATTTGAATAAAGAAAAAACGCAAACTTTCTGGCTCTAATTAATATTAAATGATTCATTAATCATTAATATTAACATGGTCCATTAAAATTAAAATTAATGAAATTATTATTGATCGATAAAAAATTAATGATTAATTCTAATATTATTAGCTAATATTAATATTCGTAATTAATATCAATATTATGGATTCATACGAATATTAATCACTGATAATATTATCAATTAATTCTATCGAGAATTAATATGAATATTAATTATCAAAATTAAAAATTTTTAATGGATTAAAATATGATTAATTAATACTAATTTAATTGTATGATATTAATATCATGTGAATTTTAATAAATAATGTTAATATTAATGATTAATACTAATTTTTTAAATTTTGATTAATAATATTGATTAAAATTAATTTATTTAATTAATACATATATCGTGAAATAATTTTAATATTAATCATCAATGTCAATACTGATGATTAATACTAATTATCAACATTAATTATTATTGCAGGTATCAATGATTAATCTTAGTATTAATCATTAATATTAACATTATTTATTGATATTAATATCGTTAATTAATATTATAGACTGATATGGATGTTAATCATTAATTTTAATATTGTTAATTAATCCTATTAAGAATTAATATGAAAATTAATGATAAATATTGGCAAATGTTAATCGACTAAAATTTGATTAATTAATATCGATTTAGCTGAATGATATTAATATCGTAAATTAATATGCATTTAAATAAAAAATGATAATATTAATGATTAATATTAATATTCTCGATTTTAATTAATATTATTTATTAAAATTAATTCAATTAATTAATAATTTTATCATGAACTAATGTTAATATTAATCATTAATGTCAATATCGATGTTTAATATTAATATTATTAATAAAAACTGATATTAATGATTAATAATAATATTGTTTATTAATGTATCATTATTATCAGTTAATCCGAATTTTA